AACCCTGAGCCGGTGAGATTTGAACCGCTGACCTGCTGATCTAGCAGTAGCCTGCAGTGCTGCATTTTAACCACTGCGCCACCTTGGCTCTAGGATTTGGTAAGATTGCATATAGGCATGTATTCCCTTCCTTTCATTCTCTTAGTCTTTCTTTTGTTGCGCTGAAGATAAACCATTAGAGGAAATATTAGAATATTTAGTAATCTTACATGAGTGTAAAAATATTATTGTATTTCTAGAATGGCAATTTACAAGGATCATAATATTTTTTTAGTTTTAGGAGAATGGGAAGATGCTAATTATCAAACATCTTAAATTTGAATTTGTATTGCTATTATACAAAAATTAACATACAAGTAAATATGTAAGCAAATTATACATATATTACTATGTATATTTATTTATATTTTTAAATAATCAATGGGTCTTTTTAACTATTAATGCATGAAATACATAATAAAGAGATACATTTCTCTCTCTGCATTTCTCATTGTCTCTATGTCTTTTGATGTGCTGGTTTTGCTTACCTTACATTTAGAGATATAAATTTAGAATGTTATTACATTTCATGCTCTTAAAATTGATTGAAATCTATAGGAAAATAGGTTTGACAGCAGTGGGAGTGAAAGTGTCTTGAGTAAAAGAACTTCCTTGCATTCATTGCATTGTACTATGCTCTCCTGCTGTTTCCTCCAAAACTGCCCATAAGTAAGGGATTTCTCTAAAATAGCATGAATGAAGAATAACGAAATGCAGGAAAGGAGAATTGTTAGGATTCAGTGAGAACAATTTGTGTGAGGAAAATGTCTTTTCTATTCACAGACATCATTGGATACAAAACATATAAAAAAGGGAAGTATTACGTTGTTTAAAACAACAGCAGTAAGGATAATTTCCAGCTTAGCTGGGGGACTGCCTCTCACTGAGAGTATCTTCCTATTTCATCATATCCAGTAGGGTGGGCATGCTCCTTTCCTTAAATGTTGCCAACTAGTGGGACTTAAGCTATAATGTTTTATGTTACCTATCCCCACTTTGGAACACTCTTTCCCTGAAAACCATCCAGCCCTCACCATTCTGGTCTTCTGTATTTTCCTGTAGCCTTTGGCTGGAGCTGAGGAAAGCTTTCTGTTGGACAAGAAAGATTTGTTTGTCTTTGGGGAAGCTAGGAATTTTAATATTGGTTTTGTGCTTTTTATTGTTTTATTATTGTTTCTAAGCTGCCCAGGGTTATGATAACATACGATCGAAGGCTATATAAATACTAAACAAATAATGCTTGTGTACTTTTCTGCCTTCTCAAAAATATCTTGGCCTTCCAGCTTTTAGCTTTGACTATCCAACATGAAAAGCCAGATTTGGAAGAACAAAAAACAAAATTATTACAGCAGGAAAAAGAAAAGAAAATACAGCTGGCAAAACTTGAAGAATCTCTTTTGGAGGTAAGAGATATCAATCTCACATGAACATTTTTATGTAACTTTGTTTATTGCAAAGAGCCATCCAGGTGTAATTTGCTTTTTTGGGGGGGTGGGGGGAGATGTTTCATCCACCAGATTAAAACTGCAGTTGTCTCTGGATTTCCTGATTTTTTTCTCTAAATACTTCAGATTAGTGCTTCATCTATGAAAGATTCAAGGAATTTTCTCCTGTGTTCTCCTGGTCTGAAAATCTCACCAAGGTACATTAGATGGTATCCTCCAATTTTTCTGAAGATTCAAGGAATGCTCAGATTCAAGCAGTGTAACAACCAATTCTCTGAGCTCGCACTCTGTGTGCGCGTAGTGGGTTTGAAAACAGATGCAAAAACTTACCTTCTACTGCATTAAAACAGCTGAGGCATGGTGATCCGCTCTGCCGCACCTATCAGCTATGCTTCAGAAAAAAGGATATATAGGTCAGTATAGAGCAGTTTCAGGCGGACGGGCCTACCTGATCATCGGAGCGGATTGGTTCACTCTCAGCTGATCATCGGAGCTACCAGTTTGCCCAAACCAATCCAAACTGGCTGAATCCCACCCCAAGGAATGCTGTCCTCTTCCTGTTTACTTCCCAGAGACATATTAACCCAAGTTTTAAATATCCTTGCACCCATAAAGTTGCACAACATTTACTAAAGCATCTATGACTTTTCAGGCCTCTGTAGCTACTTTGGAAACTACACTTAATGATCTTTTCAAATGTGCAGAGCCATCCCACTTCCCTTTTTTCCCCTAGAAGAGTGAACTTGGTTGCAGGAACATAGCTCAGCACAATTTCCAAAGAAATTGGATGAAGCTAGACAAACACACAACTGTTATATTTTTTTTTAAAGTACTTTGCACACACACTAGTATATTTTGAAATCACTATTTGAAAGGATTTGAACAGCTCTGACATTTTACATGAAAAAGTAATGTAAATGTTTCTTTTTTATTATGTGGAAATATTTAAATGCATGAAATTATACTATTAGTAGTTTTTTAGGCAAAATCTAGCAATCATTAGCTTTTAGGATGAAGTGCTGTTGCACTCAAAATTTATTCTTTGAAAAAGTAATTGGAATGGGAAATACTTTTAAAGGCCGTAACATTTTTCATTTTGCCGTGAATTCTTTTGTAACTGTTACAGTTGCAAATGCATTTTAAACCTCTCAAGATGAAAAGTGCTGGTTTATTATTCTTTCCAAGCCAGCAAACTATTGGAAAGAAATGATGTAAAGAACTGTCAGACTTTGTCAAATAATTCTCTGGAAACTAAACAGAAAAAGACCAAATTTGGTGTGAGAAGAAATTGGCAAAGGAAAAATCAACTTCAGCATTAGGCTGGATCTGAATAGGGATCTGATGATTAAAACATTCCCCCAAATTCTTACACTGCAAACTATGGAAGAGACAGTTTGATTGTGGTCTAGAATGTTGGGGACTGCATCATTCTAAGCTCTCTTCCTCCCTTCTTCCCAATCAAATGAACCAGAGCAGAAACAAACAAAATGTTAGAAAGTTATGATATTTATGTGGTTGCTTACCATGTGCATCTAAAGTAACCAAAATATCTTTACAATCTCCGAGGTATGTCACAACTTTTGAACACCCCTAATGCTTGAAAATTGAAAGTAGGGAAAATTTGACACGCCCTAGCCCTGGGATGGCGAACCTATGGCATGTGTGGCAGGTGGCATGCGGAGCCATTTGTCAGGGCACCATTTGACAGGCGGCATCCTGTCAGCTGGCCAGTGCGCATGTGCGCGCTGGTCAGCTGACTTCAACCTTTTTTTGAGGCCATTTTTTGCCCTCCCCATGCTCCAGAGGCTTTATAGGAGCCCGGGGAGGGCAAAAACAGGAACTTCCCTGAAGCCTCCAGAGCTAAAAAACCCATCCCTACGTGCAAACCAGAAATTCAGGAACGGACTTCTGGTTTGCTTGTAGGGCCGGTTTTAGCCCTCTGGAGCCTTCAGGGGCCTTCCGGAGGCTTCCCTGAAGGCTCCAGAGGGTAAAAACCGACCCTACGAGCAAACCGGAATTCACTGGTCATGCGTGCTGGTGCCGCACATTGCATTATAGTTGTGGCAGGCCTGTGCACGACCCCCCTGCGCTCCCCCTCTTTTGGCACACGTGCTAAAAGTTCGCCATCACTGCCCTATCCTATCCTATCCTATCCTGTCCTGTGTACATGAGCCTGTAGCTACTGCCTATAGAGAGCCTGGAAGAATTCAAAAAACATTCACTCATCATCTTACTATATGAGTATATAACATTTCTTTGGCATAGCTCATGGCCAATGTTTTCATAAGACATACTATATACAATGACTTTTTAAAAATGGCCTAGTTGGTTGAAATGATTACATAGTGTGACATTTTAAAAATTCTATGGGTATTGTGAATTTGTTGGGGTTTTTTCTCCTGTTTGAAATTTCAAGCCAGGAATTATGAGAAATTAATAGAATTAATTTTGACTATGCTTAACATAAACATAAATTCAAAATATGACCAATGTTGTTTTAGAAACAGGTAATGCTGAATTTTTGAAGAGAGTAGGAAGAATTTAGTATACTGTTTTGTATCTCTCCACAAAAACCTGATTAAGGAATGCCTATGGAGATTCTCAGTCATCCAGGTCATGGTTGTCCCAAAGATGCTTTTTTCAAGAGGCAACTGAACTTTCTGGTTTTTCTTTGAAGACATTTCACTTCTCATCCAAGAGTTGAAGAAGCTTCTTGGATGAGAAGTGAAACATCTTCTAAGAAAAACCAGAAAGTCCAGTTGCCTCTTGAAAAAAGCACCTTTGAGTTTGAGACTTGATTAAGAAAGTTGGAGTATTTGAAAGATATGACATATTAACCAATTGTGATCTATTCAGACAATGTGGATTTAAATATCTTTGTTGTCTGTCAACGATTCAAAGCATTCTAAAAATTAAAAGAATTTTTGTTGTTGTTGCAGACGCTTGCAACTTGTAAGGGAAATATACTTGAAAATAAGGATCTGATTGAATCTCTGAATCAAACTAAAGCAAGTAGTGCCCTCATTCAAGAATCTCTTGTTGAGTTTTATAGACTTCAGATTTCCCTTGATCAGGTAAGTATTTGGTTTGGTTTATTAGAGGATATATTACTTAAATAACATGTTTTATTTTAGCTCCCAGTGGATTAATAAATTCAAGAACTGGATTTCTGTTAGAAAATCTTCTGTGGTCTCCTGAGGTTATTTTCAACCTAAACAGTTTTATCTTTTATTCTGAAAATGCATAATATCAGTAAAAAATATTACTTTGCCATCATACCATGAAAAACATCAGTCTATTTTAAAATAATCCATTTGTATGACACATCCAAAAAAGGCACTTCTAAGTTATGATGATTTCAGTGGAGAAAATATTGCAAGATGACTCATTAGATCCCGTATAGAACTGAACAGTTTCTATATCCCTTTTTTTTATAGTTTTTAGTGATGAATCAGATAATATAAGTGAAGTTCTGCTCTCAATGAACATGAATGTATTTTTTAAATTATGTCTGGTATGCATCTATAGATTTGAAAGACAGTTGAAAAGATAAGGTTATCCTGATTAGCTTCCTTCATACTGTATATCAAATAACATATATTAATTAGAAGAACCTATCATAAATGTATGTGAGTAAAAAAAAAAACCTAGGATTTTAGGTACACAGAGCCTTATGTTAAATATTTTTTTTGTTTCTCTTGCTCATATCAGAGTGAAATCTAAAACTATTATCTTTTTTCTAAATATTATTTATTTGATTTCTAGAGCTGCCCCTCACAGTAAATGACTCTGGGCAGTGTATATCATAAAAACATAAACACAAATTAAAATGATTAAAGCAATAGAAAATAAATATACATGGTCACCAAGTAGATCTATAGCCAAGGATGTTAATTCACCAAAAAATAGGGCCCCAAGCTCAGGCACACAACCAGGTTTTCCTAGCCTTATGAAAGGCCACAAGGATTAGAATCATCCGGTAGGGGCTATAACAAAGAAACCACATATTCTGGTACTCACTACCTGACAATTCTTGAATAATAGTACCCATAGCATTCCCAACCTGCCAGACTGAACTGGGTGGGTAGAAACGACTGGGAAAATATAAGGAAAAATGAAATGTGGATGGCACAGAATATTAGGGCTTTCAAGTCAGATAGAGGTCCAACATGTCTAATCCATCGTGACAGTGTATCTAACCTTGGTTGAACTAGTTAAGAGAGATCAAGTCAGGCTTGATTCTTGCCGACTTTATGGTCAAATGTTCACTGTATCTACTTCTCTCTAATAATAATTTGTTTTAATTCTAATATTCCTTTGCCTGCTTTCCATCTGTTCTATCAATTGTTTTTCTATCTGATTTTTCTCATCTTTATCAAACAAAATAGCCCACTGTCCACTCGTATCACATAGCTAAGATTCACAGGTTTCTCTTTGCTGACTGTCACCCTGGTTTTGACATCTGCAAGGGCACAAGAGAGCCATTAATAGTACTGTCTCCTTTATTGATAACTAGGTGATAACCCAGCATCGGCCGGATATTTATTTGTACAGGGAAAATGTCTTGACCAAACGTAATTTCTAATATTGGATTTCCCCTTATCAGAGGGAGCCCCCTTGTGGAGTACTGTGAAGCCGTTACCATGGCAACTCCACTGTGCTGTACAGTGTAAGTTATTTTATGGCAGTACAGTAGAAACCATTTTAAGGCACAACAGTGTATTGTGAGAGAATACACTGCCCGAGGGATGTTAGGATTGTCTTACACCCCCCTCCCCAGTATTTGTCTTCAGAGAGTAAGTCATTTGTGTACCAAGCTTGGTTGAAATTGCTGGAACACACACACACACACACACACACACAAACACACACACACACACACACACACACACACACACTTGTATATAGAGAGCGATAGAGAAGATAGATAGATTACTTGTAAATAGTATAAAAATATTTTAAACCAGGGGTCCTCAATCTCTGGGCTGCGGCCCACTAGTAGGCCATGAGCTGTTTTCCACCGGGCCACGAAAACAGTGGGCAAGCACATGCCCACGCATCCCCACTTGCGCCAGCAGTGGGTGAGCGCATGTACATGCAGTTGCACATGCCTGCTACTTGTGCAAATGGATCTGTGGGCTTACGTTTGCCGTTTGCTAATGCAGAACCATCCCCTCTCTCCCTCCACCCACCCACAAAGCTGGAAAGGTTGGGAACTCTAATTTAAACAATTAAAAGTTTACTAACCTACTAAAAAGATTTAATACAGAATGTATTTTTTTTCCTCTTTAAAAAAATATGTGAAGAAAATTTCTCATTCATGCTTATAGGTAAACTGGTTAATTTATCACAAAGATACTAGTATCTGTCTTTTCCTTTTGTATGTCTTATCACCTTTTTCTTTCTTTCTTTTTATTTTGTCCAACTATCAAGAGCTGTTTTTCTCTTTTAACGCCTGCCTCATTGCATTTCCTATCAGGAAGTGATCCATTAAGTCTTGACTTGCTGCAATATAATACAATTTATATGCTAGTAGATAAATACCTCAATTAAGAGAAACCTGCAGGTTAATGGGAATGTGAGAATAACTCTTTTCCTATAATTCTTTTAATTTAGTTGCGAAATTTCAGAGTTCATTGAAAGTACAGTAGATTAATTCACAAATAGTTTCTGAGTACATATCTAGCAACAGCAGTTCAAAATTTCTCTTGAGGGTTTGGGGTACATCCAGTTATATTTTAGACTTTGGTTGTGATAGAAAATCCATATGCCAAATCACAGATGGCATTTTAAGCTCTTTGGAATTTTAAAGTGGTTTTCCATAAATAGCCAAACACTAAATTACCAGTTCACTCCTATGTTATACATTCCCATCTGTTTTTTCCTGGTTGCTTAAATGGTTGTTCAACAGTTATAATTTAAGTCTGAAAACTTTATGAAACATTACTTATCAGAACAGGAACCTATGGAAGGGCCCCAGTAATGTATTTTGTGTGATAGTATTATCATTCAAATACTGTGATTTAAATACTTGTGCCGTTGTTGAGGCAGTAGTACAGAACGCCAGCGTTTGTATCAGGACTCTTATTTATTTAATAATTTTTTTAGCTCATCTCGATCCCTAAAGAGTTTCTGGTGAACAGCAGAAAGAAAGAAACATTATAAAAGCAAGGTATATCTAAATAATCCTAGTACAATTTCATATGATTTCATAGTAGAGCTTGTGACCTTCTACCATTGCACCATAGATAGTATTTTAACTTACTGCACCTGTGTATGATTTGCCAATTGCACAGTGGCGGATAGGACAGCACTCCAAAGGGTTAACATCATTGCCCAGAGCATCATTGGTTGCCCTCTCCCCTCCCTGGAAAAGCTTTATAGCTCCTGCTGCCTTAAGAAAGTTCAAAACATTCTTAAAGATTCATCTCATCCTGGGCACCATTTTTTTGAACTATTACCATCTGACCGACAGTACAGGATAATAAAAACAAGGACAAATAGGCTGAAAAGCAGCTTCTATCCCAGGGCAGTAACCAATTGAATTCCACTGTATAGTGCAATATTAATGCAATACCGGGTTTTCAATTCAATTGTATAGAATGTGAAGGATGTGTGTTTGTGTTTTATTTTTATAGTTATAATATACACTGAAGATAGCGTTAAATTTTGTTGTACGAAGTACAATGACAATAAACTAAAAAAAGATATGATGACATATGACAATCAAGATCAAGACATAATGGATTCCAACATGCTTACATAATTCCAGGAGGTTTAGGGCTGCACATACCACCAATGGGAAAAGTTTCAGAGGGTAGGAACTATAACAGAAAAGGGTTTTTTCCCCCTTCACTTATCTTTTCCATATCCCATGTACCACTTAGCAGGTAAGTACTATTGTCAGCCCTTCTCTAAATGTCTGGACCAGATGGGCAGATTCAGTTTAGCTATGGTGTTGCTTTATATATCCCAGTGGTACACTGAGTAAGGCATTGAAGATAATGACCGGTACTTTGATTTGGGCCCTGACATTTGCTAGTAATTAATGCAGGAACTTATTCTACATGGGCGGTGGTGTCTTACCAACAATAGCTGCGGCAATTTTGTACTAACTGCCTTTTCAAGTTGTTTCCAAGGATGACTGCACATGGAGTATGTTATAGTGGGGTAAGCAAGAGATCATTTGTTACAGAGGTCAATTACTAGGATTCAAATATGTCTCTGAATTTTTATTACTGTCTTTTTTGTCCCTAGTGGATTGTAGCCAATATTGGCCATTGCAAATGATCTAGAAATATAATAGATTTTTGTGCATCCTCTTACCTCTTTCAACTTGCTATAAGTCAATATTGGGGCAAGGGGTGATTGCCCATTTGGCTAGAACTGACTGTCTAATAAAACATAAATGTTTTGCTTTGTCATGTGCACACATGAATGCATGTTGACATTGATAAAGTACCATCTATTCTATTGAATTGTTCTATGTTATTTGTATTTTTAATTTCATTGTGTGTATACATCTCCAATAGATGGCAATAGAGCTCTAACATTTAATCTTCTTTATTTTCAGGAAAGGGATGCATATCTCACTCTGGCTGAAAGTGGCAGCAAGATGTATTTTATTATTTCTGACTTGTCCAAAATTAACAACATGTATCGTTTTAGTCTGGCTTCTTTCCTGAGACTTTTTCAAAGGGCTCTGCAAAGTGAACTGGTATGTGCCAATAGTTCAAACCAGTGTATGCGTGTATCTCCCCCCCTCTCCCTCCCTCCCTCTCTCCTTCCCTCCCTCCCTCCCTCCCCTTACACACACATACACACACTTACTGCATTTACCTTTTTTGCCCCAAGAACTAGAAATAAGGCTGGCTGAAGTAACATTAAAAAAAAGAAATAAAGGCACTCCTTCCATTAGTGAGTGCACACCATTGATACCTAGTGTATTGCACCATAATCATTGTATTTGAAGGAAATTTATTTGTATATTTGTATAAAATTACGTGACAAGAGACCTAAATAAAACATATAATTCTCCTTGGCTAAACAAAGCATAGTTCCATAGTCAGGAGAATGCAAATGAGATTCTATTTATGTAAATACAAATTCTTCATTTATTTCTTAATTTTCAAGCAACAATCTTTATTAACAGTCCCAGCCCAGTACCACAATTCACCATTAAATTAATCATTTTTACCGATAGGAGGACAGTGCAGACTTTTTATGGGGTTTGTTTGCCTGTTTTAAATTACAGGTAGTTAGCCTACAGCCTGAAAGCCACATGCACTCCTAAGCCCATATTTTAAAGGCACCACAGGTTCTATCAGCTGTAATTATTGAAGCTGGTGGTAATATTTTCTGCAATTTTTATAGGAAGCCCGTGAAAACATCAGCACATGTCGTACAATGAACTTAATACAGGCTAGAAAACAAAGACCTGAAAATTTCTTTTAAAAACTTCAAGAAAATATTCCCGACATGATTCATTTGAATCATCATCCCTCCAACTATTGCTCTTAGACTCCTCTAAAACATTAAAAGTGACCCTCATACATTAAAAGCTTTTAATCCCAGAATACTTTGTATGTTGATGTTGGGCCTTTTTAAAAAAAATGCAAGTTCATAAATTATCCAAAGAATTCTATATTTTTCCTGAAATGCTCCAAGTATCTCTATTGATACTTTGGTAACAGCCATTACTATCATGATAATTCCAAGTGGTGCAAGAGATACTCCCAAGATCACATGTGAAGACAAATATATACAGGAAATTGGAGTCCAAGCTGTATTCTATAGATATTTTACTACAGATGTAATGTTTTCTCCTAGTACCGCCTAATAGAAGGAGCTCCTGTTACTTGTCCCAGTTTCTGCCAAGCTAGCATTTCCAAAGCATGTAAAAATGCAAGTAGAAAAATAGGGACCACTTTGGTGGGAAGGTAACAGCCTTCCATGCGCCTTCGGCGTTGAGTCATGCCAGCCACATGACCACGGAGACGTCTTTGGACAGCGCTGGTCTTTGGCTTAGAAACGGAGATGAGCACCGTCCCCAAAGCCCCACATGGTGCGGGTGAACCTTTACCTTAATCTTTTCCCCAATCTTTGCACCTAATTTCACACCTAAACTGTCTAAGAATGCCTTAAAAATATTTACTGAACAAACTTGAAAGCATTGTCCTTTGAATGTTTTTCTGCTCAGTGCTTTGGATTAGAACCAAAGCATAGATTCTCTAGTAAAAAAAAAGTTGAAACATCTAGTTGCAACATTCTGAACTCCAGACTCAGAATTGTAATTCAAATTGGCAGATTTCACTTTCAGAAGTGCCAAAATGGCAGCAAAATAAGCGATTTTCAACAGAAAGAAAATTATGAATCAAATAGTTGTTTTTTTTCATAGCATCAAAAGCACACCCACATTTCAACTGATAGTCAGGAACTGATCAGGTAGTGAGAAAGCATGCTTATTAGTATCTTACAGTAGACAAATCTTACTTCTCTTTTGTTTGCTAACGAAGTATGGCCGGATGAATGATTGGAACATTTCTTGTTGGTTTGGAAAAAGCAAACCCATATAGATTTCTGTCTGAATCAGAGTATAAGCAATTAACTTTTCTGAACAAACTCCCAAAGGAAACGCTAAGTTGACTGGAACTGCAGAGTGATTAGATATAACATTTTGCAGGGCTTTCCAAACCTAAGAGAAAATTGATTGAGCTAGACTGAGCTACTGTATGCATTTCCTTCCTTTCTCAATTTAGCCACAAGACTAGGAAAAAAAAACATACTCATAGTTCCCCCCTATCTGAGATACCCATAATATGATCAGCTTCTTACTGTTCCAATATATGAACCAGACTAGCAGGAGGATCATATTATTCTTGGAGTCAGATCCCATTGTCAACAGAGCTTTTTCACTTAATGACTACTATCATTATTTTTGGATTTGAAGCCCAGTTTTCAAACCCTCAGTTCTGTATGTTCCATGAAAATAAGATGGGATTAATGTTCCTTTGGGCCTAAAAATTAATTCCCTTTTGCACAAACTGTAGGAAAGTGTATTATGTTTCCCCAGTTCAGTTGTTCCAACAAAACAGTTGGAAATGTGATGAATGTTATTATTCTGAGTAAACCGAATAGCAGAGCAAACAAGTTTGAATATGTAGTTACTTTTTCTTTATTTCAGTCACCTGAAAGTACATTATCAAAGTTTACAATTTCCAGGTGATGAAGTAAGTATATAACGTTAGTGTCTCAAACCTTAAAAAAATAATCAGTGAGAAAGGGAAAACACATCACATTTTCCAATAATGCAGCAACAATAAAAAAAAACAGATTTTCTATTCTTGATACAGTAATACAGCAACATCTGCTAGATCTCACCACTAAATCAGAAGGAAGAAAGTATCACAGTGCTGCATCACAAGTCTCACTTCTTTGGGGCAGGCAGGTCACATGACAATCCACACAGAAAAGGGGGGAGCTTGCATCATTGTGCGTGATATGGTTATATCACTATGGGGCTTCCATGTTCCCCTCCCCACAGCTGCTATAATTTTAGTAGATAGTCTTACATTCAGCGACACATTGTATAATAAAATCTGTCTTCATCTTCGGATATCTCTTTGATTGTAACATTTTGTTAAGGAATGTTGTATATTTATCCTTGGAACAACCAAACTTTTGTATAGCAAACTTCTGATTCTTCTGAAATCAGCTAATTTCACAATTAATTAGTTAATAATGAAATCTCCATTTAGGACATGTAGATCCTGGCTTCTGCTAGTTTTGAAACAATAGGAAGAAATTCCTGTTTTAAAGAGAAATGTCTCCTCTAATTGACTCCTGATGATTCTTGGTGGACATGAACCAGTTTCTTGACAGATGTCCTACTGCCTTTTTTAATGTTAAGTTACTCAGTGTAGAATTTATACACCTTGTTCAAGGTAAGGCAATTGGTCTTAGAAGGTAGGCTAGAGAACCTGAAAGAATAATTTATTGTGTTTTTTTAGTGTACTAGAGAGAGGTGTCACTTCAAGATTAAGGGGTGCCCAATTATACCAATACCAATTATTTGTGGTATGGAAGATCTTACTTTTCCTTGAATGTTTCTTTTTCCTCTTCATTTGACAGGTTAATTAGCATACTTTAAATAATAAAGAACTGTAAACACAAATGGTTTTAAGCTAATTAGGTTACCTCAGACTGCATTTAAATGAGGTAAAATAAAGCTTTCTGATTGTAATGCTTCTTATTACAAATTTTGAAAGACTAATATTCATTGGCAGGAGAACTATGCACATGTACTCTGTCTCTCGGGCCCAGATTTCTTTTATAATTCATGATGCAGTTAGATCATATTTTGGATTAAATTGTTGATTATAAATCAAGCCCATTGTCTGAAAAAAGGGGTTCCCAACTGCTGGACTCAATGTTCAGAATCAGGCCACACAAGTGGCAGGGGGGTATGCTTGTGCGCCCAGCTCCACTTGTGGGACCACTGCTCTGAAATGTGTGTGCTTTGAGATAAAACCCTTCAATCTTAAGTTGTTTTTAGGTATTTTTGATCCATAAAGTATTGCATAATATTGTTAAATATCTGATCATTCTTTTTCAGGATTTAGGAAATACTGAGGAAAGAATAAAGTCTCTTATCAGCTCATTGAAACACTTGGTATATGAATATGTCTGTCGTTGTTTATTTAAGGTAAGTTGCCATTTTCCTATGCACTGATTCACTGTGCTGAATGTGGAATTATATTTCTGGAGTAGCCATAAATTGGCTCACTTGAAAATATGAATCAGTGGATGTACAAAGCTGCCAAATATTGTTTTTTGTTAGTAAATGGTACTTTTCAAGTCATGTGAATTGTATATAGGATCCTTTTGTCTTGTATGGCAGCACAAATTTTCTTGGTTTATGAACAGTCTTTTTGCTCACCATGAGACTTGCCTCATTACAGCACCGAGACAATAAAAACTTCTAAAGCACTAAGTTCGAACTAAGAAGAAAATTTGTTTCAATGAGCTTATAAGAGCTTATCTGAAACCAAAAACAACAACATTCTATCTCTAAATGAAGAGTGACCTTCATTAGATAATCTAGGGTTAGAACCAGGGTTGTCCCGATTTTAATGTTAGTTCACAATATATCCATATAAATAACAATTGAATAGTTGATTGGCATATTTTGCAACCTATGACTTTAAAAAATATATATAGTAAAAATGTCATTGTGGTCAATATTACCTCACACCTCTACCTGTACTTGTATATTGTAGTTAGATTGGCTTCAAAATACATAAATACAGTCAGAAGATTGAGAACATATTATATTGGCTTAACCAATATTATAGAAACTGTAATTTTCCAATATAACACATTAAACTTCCAGGGGAATGAATTTCATGGTCTGGGAAACAGAAGGCTTTCTTTTGAGTAATCACCCTAATAGTGGAGGCACATTCAATGTATACAGGAATGGATCGCAATAATGAATATGCACATATCACATGAGTGGGCATATATGAGACTGAACAGCCCAATAGAGATATATATCTTCCTTCCACTTGAGGATATAATTGTGCATATTTTTTTCTTCTAAATGCTATACATGTCAACTAGAGCCATCCACTTGAAGAGAATAGGAACAAAGAATTATAATATCTCTGGGAAAAGGCAGAAATGGCTAGGGTGGGTGCAAGAATACAATGTTCCACAGCATGTAAAACAAATATAGCCCAGAAACTGATAATCTTATGAATAAAACATTCCATATATTTCAGAATGACCTTTTATTAGGAAACCAATTAAGAGATCCCAGAACAGAAGTTTTTGCATGAAATTATTCATAAATTTGCAAGCAGGTGCCCCACCCCCCCAAAATTAGGGTTGACCTTAGTTGTTGTGTGACTATAAAATTATTAGGAATACTCCTAGTAACAAAACTACTGGAAGAATGCAATGGCAACACATCATATTGTTGTCAAGAAATTTGGCAACATAAAATCACCAGAGTTGAGTTCGTCACTTACTTTTGACATTGCATCCAATAATGTAAATCAATGATGGCTATCCTTTTTCCCATCGCATGCCAAAAGCGGGGGGAGTACAGGGGGGAGCTATAATGCTATGCATGCGTGTGACCCTCCCCACCCACCCCTGCTTTGGGGACACGATGGACCCGTTTTTTTGCCCTTCCCAGGCTCCAGAGGCTTTCTAGGAGCCTGGGGCCAGCAAAAACAGCCTCCCTAGTCTAGCCTAACCCTAACCCTCCCCCTGAAGCTTCCAGGGCGGGGAGATTCCAGGAACGAACTTCCGGTTTGCCCGTAGGGCTGTTTTTCATGTCTCGGAGCCTTCAGGAGGCTTCCTTGAAACCTCTGGAGGGTGAAAAATGTCCCAACGCGCAAACCGGAAGTCAAACCCAAACTTCTGGTTTGCGCGTTGGATTGTTTTTCGCCCTCTGGAGGCTTCAGGGAAGCCTCCGGAGGGTGAAAAACAGCTTTAAAAGAAGGTTGAAGTCAGCTGGCCAGCGCATTCATGCATGCTGGAGCTGACAGTGCAATGCCTCACATGCCCTAACAAATGGCTCTGCAGGCTACCTGTGGCACACGTGCCATAGGTTTGCCATCATGGATATAAGAGAATTTTTTCCAAGTATTTTATATGATTTCCACATCATATAAAATTCATCAACAGTTTTTTAAAAAAACATAAAAACATAGATAGGAGGTTTTATTGATCATTCCCATCGTTAGAGCACATTCAATATTCCTTCTTTTAAAACTTTTGAAAGTAAATTGTTTCCAATCCTTGAAAGTTCCACTATCCTAAACAATGAAATATCCTCACCCTATATTACACATCTTCGGTGTCAGCATGTTAAACTTGCATATATGGTTACATATATGGAAGGAGACAAATCATTTTAAATCTCAGAATACCATTTGCTTTTATTACGGTGAGCATCGTGAGCATTAGATCGTGAGCATTAACTGTGTGACTATTTGATCTAGATATCACAGATGATTTTAAAATGCTGGTGGTTAGTTCAGAAAGTGAATTCATTGGAAAAACTATAAATTAATAGCTATGGATTTATGTAGTTGCTTGGTTCAGAAATGAGCTAGTTCAATTACCTTTCACTTCAGCTGAAATATAGCATTGCTTCCTATATTGACAATGTAGCCATTCAGTATTATAAAAAGATTTCCAAACCAAAGTTATATTACCTTTGACTGTTGAACAATCAATTCAATTTTGCATCATTTCTATTGCTTAAAGGAATCATTGTATATTTCATTGAAAATGAGAATGCCCAAGATTACTGTTTTGGAGAATGGTGGAATAAGAATAAGAATGTAGGGTTCTATTTTAAAAGATCAGAGATAAAAAATGCAGTCACAGAAATCACGGGAGTTAAAAATATTGAAATAAAATATCATATTGCCTTGAACCAAGATACTCTGGTTTAGAATTTTCCTTAGCAAAATCTGAGGATATGTAACCAGCTGCATGGTTTCTTTATCTGTTTCTATAAAAAAAAAACTTTCTAGGGTATTATTTTCCAAGGAGAACATTGCATAAGATGTTATTAATGTTTTGTCTTCTGATTACAGGCGGATCAGCTAATGTTTGCATTACATTTTGTGAAAGGAATGCATCCTGAACTTTTTCAAAACAATGTAAGTCACATAGTAATGCTTACCCTTTAATTTTAATTGGCCATTATTTCTGATGGTTTTTACACTATTAACCCTTGATTTAACGACCGTTCATCCAGCAACAATTTAAAGTTACCATGGTGCTGAAGGACTTTGGGCCCATGCCTGAAGTTACAGCCATTGCAGCGTTCCCCCAGACACATGATTAAAATTCAAGCACCTTGCCCACACTTAAGACCACAGGGGCACTGCAGCTAATCTCACCTGATTATTTCCTCTCTCCCCCACCCCGCCATCTATATGCCCTCTGGCCCCATCACACCCTGTGCTCTGCTCCCCCAGCTGACTCTCACCACCATTTTCTTGCTCCCACTGCTGCCAAGGCATGACCAACATGACTGCTGAGTTGTATGGGGCTGGCTTTGTTCTGCGAAAAAGTGGAGGGGGAACAGTTGTGGGTTCTGGATTCCGTTGCAACCTGTACAGTGCAAAGGGGCCGGGTGTCCACCACATGCACGCGTGCAGCACATGCGCAGAGCGCGCTTGCATACTTATCGCCCAGGACGCTCCACGACATTCAGCTTCTCGGTGGAGCATCGTGCAGGCGCCGTATGCTCCGTGTGCATGCGCATAAGCCCCAATCGGCTCAAAGGAGGGCGGGTGGGGCCTCTGGAGCATCATACCAGAACAGTATTTGGTGCTCCCAGCATTCATCGGTATGCCTGTACCGGGACGTACCAGTTATATCCCACCACTGAAGGGGAAGCGCAAAGCAGCCCATCCTTGAGCTGAAGTACATCAAAAAGGCCTCTTCACTGCACTCTTGCAATGGATCACATGGAACAAGCTTTGAGCTGCAGAGAAAAAAAGTGGAAAGCAGCCTTTTATTCCCCTTAAAGCCAGTTGCATGGGATCCAGGAACAGAACAAAAAGGGGCATTTTAGCTCTCTCCGACTCCAGAGGGGGAAGCTTTGTGCTTTTTTTTTTTTGTGTCATTCCCATATGCCCCAAGAGTATGGCAAAAAAAAAAGATATTTTCTCTCACTCTGGCCCCTTTAAGCTGCTTTGTGCTTTAAAAACAAATGCTGCACAGAGCCAACCTCATATGGCCCAGCAGCAAGACCAGGAACACTTTGTCAACATTAGGAATAAGAAGGTGTCAGTGAATGTCAGCAAGGCATTGTGGAGGGACACCAAAAGGGAGGGTGGGGAGAAGAGAAGCAGGTGGGGAAAATTGAAGGCAATCCTTTACCTTACTAGATGCTTGGGGGCTGGGAGAGACCAAGCCCAGAGTAGCTTGGATTGGGGAGGATGCTTGGCTAATAACTGGTAAAATTTGCTTAATAGCAGCAATATGGATTACTGGGACTGCAGTTGCTAAGCAATGCAGTCATCTGATATTTTGCTTTATGACCAATTGCTTAGCAACTAAAATGCTGGTCCCAATTGTGGTCATAAGTCATAGTGATGTCATTCAGGTTTTTTTGTTTGCTTTCAAATGTAAAACTAGTTACACAGACTCTGTCAACCTCAGTGAGACTGTTAACAGCTTAAGGCATTTTGTGGAGATGCTGCATAGATGTCCTTTTCAGTATGATCTGAGAGTTAATATAAGACGAGAACTAGAATTTACTAAAATATACTCTTTATTATAGTTATTTTGAATGTTGTTGTCAATGTAATGTTTTACTGTAATCAGTACTAATTGAAGAAGAGAATGGGAATAGAAAAAATGTACATAGGCACTTGCCATCATTGTGCCGCTCAGATGTACAGTATATGATGGATGGATGGATGGATGGATAGATAGATAGATAGATAGATAGATAGATAGATAGATAGATAGATAGATAGATAGATAGATAGATAGATAGATAGATAGAAGATAGATGGATAGATGGATAGATGGATAGATGGATAGATATAGATGTGTGTGTGTGTGTATCTTTCAGACTGAAGTCGAATATTTATTTGTTTAATTTATTTTTTAAAATTATTTGACTAACTATTTTACTCCTGTGACTCTGAGCATAAAACCTCAATACTGTAAGACACATTTATACAATGCAGGCAAGGTCCTCAAAAAGATTTTAATCCAAAAACCACAATATAATAAGTCAGGCTCATCTTGAATCCTGTCTGAATGCCTGAGGGAATAGTCAGGTTTTTTAAGCTTTGGAGAACAGCAACTGGATTGGGGCTATCTTAATCTCTAACAACACGTTACTAAATGCAATGAATGTTTCGCTGAGAAGGGGCAATTTGGAATGGAACAAAAGTAGGAAAGTAAATTAAAATTGGCACTTCTAATTCCAAGTACGCCCATTTAGTCATGTCTCCATTTTCTCTTTGAAAACATTACCCTTGACTGTAGTTTGAGTATTTCCATTATGTTTTAACATTTTAAAAATTGTATTGTTCTTACAGGAATGGGACACATTTACCGGTGTAATCATTGGAGATATGTTAAGAAAATCAGTAAGTGTCACTTAACACCTTTTTTTTCCGAGCAAAAGTACCATCTAACATTATCTTTCTGACAATGACAAAAAGTATAGTCTGTCATAGATTATTTCTCTGCCATAATAAGAACATAATTCTGTTCTCTTCAACAGAAACTTTTATATTTAATAAAATAATCAATGTTTGAATATTAACTGTTATTGGTTCTTTCAACGATAACAATCTGTTTGTGCTATCAGGAGAAGTTATATCAGACCTTTCATAATTTTGTTATTAGTGATAAATGTTTACTTCAGGGGGGTGTTTTGGGGGAAAACAACAACACATTGGGAAAGTTTTTCCCAGATCGTTTTTCTCTGCAGTCTGCAGCCAGATCTGGCTGACTTTCAGCTCGATCTTTCTTTTCCTGACTTCTCACCATCCCTCTCCATCACACCCAAACCAGATTTGGTCCTGCAAAAGAAACAGTCACAAACTCTGAATATTTTCATGGTGAATGCTAACGAGAGTTTTGACATTTAAAATTTAATTCATGGGGCAGGGAGAGGGATGAGATGGATCTAGTCTAAGAGAAGCAGACTTTTTTAAAAAAAGAAGAATGATGAATCATGTATTCATTAGTATTGTCACTGTCTTAGAAATCAGAGTTTTGGCCTTAATGTTTATTGACAAATCTTAAGGCTCACAGATATATTTGGCAAAGATCTCAACAGAACGTGACAGTCTCTTTTGTGACAACTGGGAGAACTGAAAAATGCCTGCTGAATGATTGACCAAGTCATTTGTGATTGCCCTGGGGGTAATGGTTGTCACAACCAAATAATATTTTGTTTCGCTTCCTTACATACATGCCCTATAACATTTGCAATAAAATTTATTTTTGTATCATTCAGGATTCCACCAAAAGCATCAGAGATCAGATTCCCTCTTGGATAGAACAGGAAAGAAGTTGGGCAGTGGCAACTCTAAAGGTACAGTTCGAACTGATTTTTTTTTTTCTACAGAAAAATAATTTACTCTAAAAAAACCTGACTTCCAAATATCTGTACCCTGAAATCAGAGTCATGTATTATTTTTCCCTTCCATAGTAGCATCTTTGTTTTCAAGTTAATGATGCAGAAATTGATCATTTGGGAGGGTCAGTAATATATGTTAATGTGTGTGATGTGTAATTAGCTAATTTTAAAAATGCCTCTGTTAATAGTATTTCTCCTTCTTCCCTAATTCTCAAATTATGTGAATTAAAAATATTTTAAAAGTAACTTTGGGCCATATTTATAACCTTCATGTCATGCTTCACAATGGTCATTTCCAATAATTGTAGTTGAATTTTGAAAACCTTGTCTATTTTTTAAAAAACCATATTAGGTTCCTTTTTTAATCTTCATTTTGCCATGCTTAGCTAGATTTAAAAACCAAACTCAACACTTTAAGCTGAGCCCCTAAAGAAGTAAGGTAGCTGATGTATTGTCTTGTCTCTCAAAGGTCTTTAAAATCCTAAATCTGTTCTTTATTGTTGATGTTTCAGAATGACCTTTAAACAACTATGTATGGACCAAATAATATGATTAGAAATATGTTTGAAAATAACATATTTGATCTACCTATGAATCTAGTATTCTATGTTCTGTTCTGCTTATTTAGAAAAAATGTCTGCAAGCAAACAAGCTCAGAGAGCACCAAGAGCTCCATAATTTAGCATGAACTACATATATTGTCTTCTTTTGATATATAAATATATAATATGTAAGCTCTTTGAGATTAGATATAAGGAAAGGGTTTAAATATAACATTTAGCTTTATGAAAATAGGCTAGTTTGATTTATCCAGGCTCCCACTGAGGTTTTGATTGGAATTCTACTTTAATACAAGAAACCCCACTTCTACACATATGGTTTTACAATTGTTATATTGTCTCAACACACCAGGTACATTTATTAAGCCACATGACAACCATTCCTTGAAAATTAATGAAAACAACTATTCCAGTATGGTTTTACAGAAGTGCAATGAATGCATGGTTTGAGAATTAAAATTATATGACAGTTAATTAATTTTTTCAATGCAGCATAAAAAAAATAGATTTTCCCCCTCTTACATGTAAACCTGTTGATTTATTTTATAGATCTCTCTCCCAACTTTGTATCAAATGGTTTGCTTTCAAGATGAAGCACTGTGGCAGCCTTTCTCACGGAGCTCAGTGTGTGAACAAGAATTTCCATCTATTATAGCAAATAGAATGTCTCTATTTCAGCAGGTATTTTTCGACTACAATTTTAGACAAGTATAAATCATATGCAAATCTTTGGAGGTGGGGTGGTAGGGGAGGAGAGAAGGCAGAATATTTCCCCATCCTTTTTCTCTTACACTGCTGGATTTCATGTTTATTCAAAGCATGCTTTTGCAGTTCTTATAGCGTAATAAATCTTATAAAATACCAAAAAAAATGTGACTTAATTTGTTAAATGTGAGCCTTCTGGAGCTGTAGATTCAAATCTTTCATTTTGTCAAGCAGTTTTCGATGCTTCCTCCTGCCATCCTCCCCCCCCCCCCCCCCCCCCGGTTATGAAGGATCCATAAGTCACCAATTGAATGTACAAGCCTTCCATATTAACATCTCTTATTCAGTCACTGGTATTCTCAGTTAAAAAACATTGATTGAGCCAGGGCTGAAAATGTGAATATTTTAAGTATCCATCTTAATAACGTGAAGACTGAAAACATCAGCTGATTTTTTTACAAGAAGTTCTGGTCTCTGCAGTGATGTCAAGGGAGTTGTAAAGTTGATTCTGTAAATTGCTGACGTTGAATTGGATTCTAGATTTGAATTACAGATAAGATTGGCTTCTGGTCACTTTCTTAATCAGCTGGCTTAATATACTTGCAAGAACAGATGAATAGAACAGGTCCAAAGAAACATGAAGTAGTCCATTTGTTTACAGTAGACCTGAGGTGAATAGCCTTCCTATAACCAGAAGCTTCACCATTTTGACTGTTACTGTGTTTGTTTTTTCTTTTTTCTTTTAAAATATTAGTTCAATATTGTTGTTGTTGTTAGTTGTGAAGTCATGTCTGACCCATTGCAACCCCATGGATAGCGTTCCTCCAGGCCTTCCTGTCCTCTACCATCCTCTGGAGTCCATTTAAGCTCTCGCCTACTGCTTCGGTGACTCCATCCAGCCACCTCATTCCCTGTCATTCTTTTTTTGCCCTCAGTCTTTCCCGGCATTTGGCTCTTCTCCAAGGAGTCAATATACCCTGGTTCAATATACCCCCCTCCCCCCCAAAAAAAATCAGGGGGGAAAAATGAAGGCAAGCAAAAGCATGTTTACGAGAACTTATTCAACTTAACTTCCAGATCTTGACCACATTAAATTCATACTATTCACCTTTCATGGTATTGATAATATTGATCACACTTTCCATGATACATCCAGCTCTTAAACATAAAATAAGCATAGACTGATTGCAAGTTGTAAATCTGGGCTCATTTCTATTGCTTCCCATACTCAATGTTCTGACTAACATTTTTAAATGACATTGATCTTTATAATATCAGATTAACAAGTGTATATCAAAGTAAATTGAGGAAAACTATGAGTAAGTGTTTTCCCATTCTGTTTATACTTCCAACACAGTTAATTTATTAGCCAGTATTTTTAAGGAATCTTTTTGGCACCTAGTAAATACGACAAAGAATATTTTGTTAAATTTGTTTCAATTTTTTTTTTTTTGCAGAAATCTTTCTCTTACTTTTTTTCCCTCATCAACAGCCTCTTTTATCAATTTACTGAGCGACTTTTTTCTTCATAATTCCCATTAGTTCAACTTCACAGACTTTTGGCACTTTTATAATGAAATTCTTTTCAATCTGCTCCAAGCAGCCATCACATCTGCTTTTTTATGTAAGCTTTCCATCTGGGAGAATAATCTATATTATAGTATGCTTTTCCTCCTATCATTTCATTTTTGTTTCTTTTATTCTTTCTTCCCTTGCTTATTTCTTCCCAAGATCTATTCATGACAGTATCAAAACATTGATTGTTCCACATTCAGAATCCATATCTTTGTACTTTTCACTATTTTTAAAAATGTTTAAAATCATAAGCCATCCAATTAGTCATGAATTTAAGTTTATATTCTTTCTTGCTCTTTGTAGTTCAGAATAGATATGTGTTTGAACTATGCATTCCAAAGAGATCTTAGCCTAAACAGCTACTCAGTAAATGGTCATACCTATGTTTTATATCAACCCACCCATATCAACCGAAAGTTTACTGTGTAACCATTGAAAATGTTGCTATCCTTCCTACAGGCTGGCTTATTTTCCCTAAATTTAGCTGCCTGGCTAGCTTTTTCCAGCTCACTGAAGCTGCCATTTAATAAAGTGGAAAGTAAAATATTAACTGATTGAACAGCACAATTAATACTGTATATTCATTTAGTAATCATAGATTAAGAACTGCCAATTTTAATCAGATTTTAATTGGAATTGTCTCTGTTAAAGAGGCTGATCAGTGCTGATGACTGCATTTAAATAATTTCTATACCTTCTCATTCATGCCCTGCACTTACGCTTTTATAAATAATACATTATCTGTTAATGTTAACTAAGGAATGTGCTATCCTCATTAGATATCTACTGTATCTTAAGATCTGAAGTATGAAATATAAGAGAAATGTTTCTTTTAACTGCTCAATGTCAAGAGTAAATCAACCAGAAAACTTTCTTAAATGAAAGACAAGTGCTATATTTGTCTGGAATTGAGTTGATGGTCTGCTGTATCAAAATTGAAATCAGCCTTGCTGTGAAAGATTGTAGGGAGGCTGAGAAAAGAATGGAAGAGATAGCACTGAGTGAGTATGTTGTCTCTTAAATGGCAACCAGCCCAGGTAAAGAGAAATCTGGGAATAATTATCCAAAATAATTTCCCTAAATATATTGCATATTTCTAAGTTCCAGGAACTTTTTACTCTGTGCATTTTTGCATACCATGCATAATTGTATAAGGGTTATTATTTTCCATTGTTTATCTCCGCTACTAATTAAACAGTAGATTAATTTATTGCATAAATAATATTGGAAGCAGCTTTTATCACATTTTTTAGAAAGCTGTAATTTTAAAAATGCTCATCTTTATGATACATTTCACTCGTCCAACTCTTTGCGCCAACCATGTAGAAGTGTTTGATGATGTTTGCTAATCAGCTGAGGAGCCTGATGTGAACATTTTTACTTGCAGGTCCTTGTGGTCCAGGCTGTCAGGCCAGATAGGCTACAGAGTGCAATGGCTCTTTTTGCTTGTAAAACTTTGGGTGAGTTGCTATATTTTTCAGAACACATATAGTAAGGTATATATTTCCACTTTAATTCATCTAAAGAGTAATGTATAAAATAACACAGGCTTTCACATGCATGTATTACTGTTATAGGTGGTAAACAAGTCGTAATAAATTACGTCACCTTACGTTACATCATAGTACGTTATGTCACGTCATGGTACGTTACGTCACATGTTAGCCATCCATTTTGTCTCTAGGTAGCTAATGACAGCTAAAAATACAGCAAAACAGCAGCATAACAATAAATACATGATAACATCCATCAACATAACCCAGAGTTGTAGGGAAGATGGATGGCATAGAAATTTAATAAATCAAATCAAATCAACATAATCATCTCTCTGCCATACATTCCAGTCCCCATGCCCAGAGACATAGCTAAATCCAAGACCTTATGAAAAGTCAGTAGGATTGGAGCTAATCTAATCTGCCAGGGGAATGATGTTGCCATTGCAGCAAAAGTTTTTTTCCCTTGGTTCAGTCAGATGATATTCTTTAATAGAAAGGAGTCATATCATGTCTGTCCTGGAGATCTGATGGACAAAATAGGCATAGGTAGAACTCCCACAAATAATTTGTCCCTAAGCCATTAATTGAATCAGCAAAGACTCTGGCAGCCAAAGCAGAGTATAAACAATCAAGATAAAGAAAAGAAAAGATAGACTGAGGCATGTTCATTTTAAAGTAGATGCAGTTTTGAAGGATCTATGGAAGCTTTACTAAGTAGCAGAGAGGTGCATGCTTGCACACATGTGAATTCTGAAGCATATCTCCAAATAATTGTTTAAAACATAGCCCTAGTATGTAGCTCCTTTTTCTACTTCATATTTTTATACTAATATTTTATTTGTCCTGCTGTCTTTTGTGTTATCTATGGATGCTTACTTTAAATTAGAACTTTGTGCTTTCTCAAAATAGTTTGAAAAATGTGGAATGCTTCGTGGTCTCTGAGCTTAGTTGTTTGCTGGCAGCTGTTTCATTACCTGGCTAGGTAACATAACTACACTGATTATGTTGCTAGCTGGGTAATGAAGTGTCTGCCAGCAGGCAACTCGGAGCACCAACAACCAACTCAGAGAGCACCAAGGGCTCCACAATTCAATCCTGACTGACAGATATTCTTTTCTATTACGGTTTTAAAAATATTAAACAGATATTCTGTCATTTATACTACAGTGGTTTTAGCAGGTAATTGTTATTAGGAGACATCTTTATAAAGAATGTGTATTTTACAATACAAATGTTTTGTTAAAATTGAGTTTTCCAAAATGGATCTGCCTTGCATTTCTGGAACTTGTATGAGCGCTTACTTGAATTACAGTATTTTTATCTAATGTCTTCAGCTTTTTAAAAAGTTTTTTAAGTTATCATTTGCAGTGTCAGCAAAAACAAGGGTGTGCAGATGTGTCTATATCCAAACTATCATAGATTTACTATGTGATTATTTGGATTTGATAAAGCATCCATATCAAAGATTTATATAGGGACAAGGAGCTTGAGAATATTCAGTGCAGTTCTGTTCTGTGAACAGTTCAGATGACAATAACAACTCAAAATGTATTTGTGGGTTTATTGGAATTCTATGTTACTTTTTTATTATAAATGCTTTCCGTTTTTAGGGATTAAAGAGCTGTCACCACCCCCACTCAATCTGAAACGCCTGTACAAAGAAACATTGGAAATCGAACCAATCTTGATTATTATTTCTCCTGGTGCTGATCCTTCTCAAGAATTGCAGGAGCTTGCAAGCACTGAAAGAAATGGAGAATGCTACCACCAGGTGAATCACTGTCAGGCATCAGTTGAAGGGAAATGCTTTCCTCCCCATGTTTCTGGTTCTTGGGTAGAACACACAACTTGTTGATTGATTACACTTGCTCCTTGGTGTCTTTGTGTGTGTATGTGTCACATACACACACATGCATACATACATTGATGCATATACACATCTTTAGTGTACCTTCAACAGATAGCTGAGGTGGAAGACATTGGAAGGCCTACTAGTGGATAGAAAGGTCTGGATTAAAAGGCAGCACTGCGGCATTGATCATAGCAGCACAAAAACTGGCCCAGAGCCATAGAAGCATGGTTCTACCACACTAGACAGGATCTGAGGTGTACCAAAGACAGTTCAACACAGTCTGCAGCAGGGTGCAAGAGGTAGGCAGGAAGAGCATACACTGAATGACACAGTCAAATAGCTGATGCTGTTTACAGGAATATCTGCAAGGTGTATGAGCCAGATCCTCCGATGTCCAGATGGGAGATTCTACAGAAGGTTGTGGAGAATAACAGGACTAAGTCCATGTAGAACTTCCAGATTCAGACAAACAGGCCAATCAACATGTTGCTGCTGAGCCACACAATTGTATACAGGCTGGTTAGAGTTAGGATTGAGAAGGACAAATAATATGTTTTCTTCTTTAAAAAAAAAGACCTTTCTCCTCTTTATAAGCTATACTGAAACAATTCTATAATAAAGATACAAGACAAATGGCAATGATATTTTAATTGATATGCTGCCTCCATTATATATTATGTATGAGATAATTCATCTTCTATGAGACTACCACATAATGATTTCCATTAATTACAAATATGATCCAAAATTGTCCACATATAAACGGCAGTCATTTCACACTTGACATTTTGTGCCATTATTACAATTTCAATGTCATAATGTAGTAGTCGCAGTGTTAAAATTCAGTACTTCAATGCTTAATCTGCAAGACTCCTACAAATATATACATTTTTTAACTATGGTTAAAGAACAATATACCACTATATTTTGTAGGTGGCCATGGGCCAAGGTCAAGCTGATCTAGCTATTCAGATGGTAAAAGATTGTGCCCGAAATGGAGAATGGTTGTGCTTGAAGAATTTGCACCTTGTTGTATCGTGGCTGCCTATATTGGAAAAGGTAAGATATTTTGCAGACTTCAGTAATTTTTAGGCTGTTTTTTTGTGGCAAATGGGGAAAAAAAACATTATCAATGTTATTGTAGTGCTCAGGACAAATCATCTGTCAACTTAATAAAATGAATAAAAACTCCACAAACAATTCCATCAGCAAACACATTGACATACAACCAACCTATGAGCCCTGCAGAATTCAAATCAACCACAGCTTACTAGCGATGGCATCAACCCTTAACCAACCCATGCAACTCCCCCAACCAGAAGTTCACTTCCCAATGACCCTCACCTGATATGACCTCCTCATCATAAGACTCATCACAAGACCCTGACCAGACATGACCCACACCTGACCCATCACAAGACCCTGATCTGACGTGATCTTAACTTGACATGACCGCCCCGTCACAAGACCAACTACACAAAGCCCTTCTAAGCAGAAGAACACTGATTCTGACATCCCCTAAATTCTGTTGAAGACATTATCTATTGTAGCCTGGTAATGAAACATTAGGAAACTAACCCACAAGCTCCAAGAACAAACCTCCACCCCCCAAATTAATAAAAGAATCATAAAAGTAATAGTTTGCAATCCTCTCACATTTTCCTGAAAGAGAGTTACATTGCACTCAGTGGGAAGTTTAGATAACCCTTTTTAGAGTTTTGTGGTAAAGTTCTTGTGTAGCAAAAAAATTCCAGTTGTTAATTTACATTAGAATGCAAGGATTATTAGGGATCGATTGGATTGGTGACATTCACAATTTATCTCAAACCATTACAAATTAATTAAATCATAGTTGTCTTGCTGATTTTTAACTCTTAACTAATAAATAAATGGAAACCAAGAATATGATTCTTGTAGCAACTGTTTGCCACTGAGAAAATTAGATTCTCTGAGATTCCTACTCATATTTATTGGAAAATGGTGGATAGATCACATATGTATGTATGTGTGTATAATTTAGCATCATATATATACGTTAGTATATTATAGAAGGTTTGTTCCTCTGAGTCTCTGCTTCTTGAAGTGTTGCTACCTTTTACCTGATAAGAAAAAATGCACAGATGTTCCATCCTTACAGTAATTGGGAAACCACCATTCTCCCTGCTATATAGCTGTGTATTCACATTCTCTCTAGCCACCTTGTTTGTATCTGGAAGGATAAAAGGAAACGAAAGATGTCCCTGTAACAGCACTTAGCAATAGCACTTAGACTTGTATACTGCTTCATAGTCCTTTATAGCCCTTTCTAAGTGGTTTACAGAGGCAGCATATTGTCCCCCAACAACCTGGGTCTTCATTTTATTGACCTCGGAAAGATGGAAGGCTGAGTCTACCTTGAGCTGATGAGACCTGAACTGCCGAACTCCTGGCAGCCAGCAATCAGCCGAAGTAGCCTGTAGTACTGCACTCTAATCTCTGTGCCACCATGGCAGATTTTACTCCACTAGTCATCATCAACTATAGAGTCAGCGCTCATCTCCATTTCAAGGCCATTGATCCAGCTCTGTCCAAACATGCTTCCATGGTCAGATGGCCAGCATGAGGTGGCAGAGTACTGTTTCCTCCCCACCAAAGTGGTACCTCTTTATCTGCTCACATTTGCATGCTTTTGAACTGCTAGACGGGCAGGAGCTAAGAGAAGATGGGTGCTTGCCTCAGTGCATGACCATCAGATTTCCACCTCATAAACCCAGGGTCTTAACCACTGAGTCTTCATGCCACCCCAACTGGTTTCCTCTTAAATTATTTCCCAACTTTAATTGCTCCACTAGGGAGGGAGGGAGGGAAGGAAGGAAGGAAGGAAGGAAGGAAGGAAGGAAGGAAGGAAGGAAGGTCAGTATAGTGCGCTATTTTTGTTTGTAGCCCAGTTCTACAGTCTCACAATAATTAAAGAAGTGTTCCTATGTTTTGGAGACTCGCTGACATTTGTGCCTTGGAAAAGTAGTCATCAGTGATTAATGGGTAGCTGCCCTATAGTTTACTGTGTACTGTGCATGTCAAATTAGCATTTGTGATTTATTTTAAATCTAAACAGATTAAAGGATTTGTAATTTATTCAGGTGTAGTACTTCTAAAATCTCAGAAGTATGGTTTAGCAGAGTTGTATCCCTTTTGCCAATTGCTCCCAAGTGTATTTGAGGCAACTCTTATTGTAAAAGTTACAGCAATGTAAATCTATGTGATGATGTAGAAAATGGAGCATGCTATTTTAAACAAATTATTATTTTGTTATTATGTCAACTTGTTCTACTCCCTAAAATTATTCCCCTGGAAATGTGTGTATTACAAATAGAAACTCCCTCGTTACAGTGATATTTATAATAAAGGCAGAGTTTGGTAAAAGGATGTTAGCATACTTTTGAAATATTTTAAAAAGCCACAGATGATTCATTCAGGGGGTAACTTGTAGTTCATACCAAATAAATATATTTATATTTCAAAAATTAACTGGCAAAAAAATATAGTTACAGTTGGCATAAATCCTTCAATTCGTGATATTCAAATAATAAAAACAAAAATTGCTTTTGGAAGACATTGTTTCTCATTTTGACCATATATGAATTTTTTATTTCTATATACTGTATATCTTCTATTCCTTTCTTCCCTTTGACATCTTGACTCAGAAAATAATAATCAAGCAGAAGACAAAATGTGGTTGCAAATCATGATTTTTCTCAAACAATCAGTTAAAGAGAATATAATCATCTCCTGTCAGGGATATAAAAATAGATTTTATAGATTTAGATTTTATTAATATTTGTAGGCCGCCCTTTTCCCTGAGGGGACTCAGGGCGGCTCACATAA